AGCTTAAGAGATTCCAAGCTACTGTCGGATCTTCCGCAGTCTAATCAACAGTAAATCAACCCAGGGTAATTACAATTGAGACCTAACTAAGGAGCTAGGGGGACTCATTCCCGAGTGACTCTTCTTTGCTTGAGAAAACCGAACCAATTCCTGCTTTCTTACTGCTTTTGCTTTAAACAACAATCACTTGACTTAGTTGGCTAGATAATAGATAATCACGGAGTAAGCAATAGATCTAGACCCCGGGTTGATAATAGAACTTGCCACTTTACTGCATTCCCGAAATGCGATTACACTTGGTCACAGTTTAATGTTGTGTTTTGGCGTGTCAATAACCTTGCTCATTACCCATTAGGAAAACTGTGCTCTTCTTGAAAGGATACTGATTTATAGGTACAGCTCCCTCTGTTATTTCCACTCCACATATATCACAATCTTTCTCATGCAAATGACGAAAGCAAAGGATTGGAATATTTTAATTGAATGAATTGGAGACGATGAAAACAGAGAGGGAAAGAGAAAAGATGAGAAAATTTGGGACATTGAGGAAGTGGCGTGCTTCGAGGAGAGAATGGAAGTGGCAAAAATGAACGTGCGAGGTGGAGCCATGGCTGCCGATAGAGTTGAAGTCGCGGCGGCCAACTAGTATGAGCTCCGTGATGCTGAACGACGTTGTGCTCCGGGCCAGAGTGTCGATGTTGTGCCTATTGGCTATGTTGTGCACCACTACATAGCTCTCAATCGCCATTTGGTTTAACACAAAAACATAGAGCGAACTTCCCAAGTGAGGATGGCGGCCGCCGGAGGTTTTCCGCTTCTTCTTCACTAATCCTACTAGGGTTCTTGATATCTGAATGCACAACAACAGAAGATCGAATCGACCATATAGCCTACGAGGCTACGACGATGCTGACTTAACTTGGGAGTCATTCAAATTCACCACCAAACTTTCATAACAAAACATTCTGGTCCTTACATCTTTCATTTTGGAATGGCAAAATTCACTTTTACAGCCACAACTTTCTTGTTTGTAACAGATATATCTACAACTTTCGAAATACATGAAATAACCTCTTTCGACCATCATTTTAACGGTGTCACTAAACAGTATTACTGGATCAATGAAAGTGCTGAGTTGGCGATCCACGTGGATGAACAAAAAAAAAGCAAAATACACTTCCATAGCCACAACTTTCACGTTTGCAACAGTTATAGCCACAACTTTCATGCTTCTGACAATCATAGTCAAAACTTTTGAAATACATAAAATAACCACTTTCGTACATCGCTTTAACAGTGTCATTTAAAAATTAAAAGTATGACTGGAGGAGGAGGCATTATTTTCCGAATTGTCGATTCAGATCCCCAATCGCTAGATTGAAGAAGAAGACCCCGAATGTTTGGCTGGGTCATAAAAAAAGACGAGAAAGAGGGCACGAAGGCTGATGGAAAGAAGATGACGATGACCGCGAAGAAGGCATCGACGGCGGCGGTGAAAGAGGAGACAATGTCTCCGGTAGAGACAAAGAACGATGGGTCGAGAAGGAAGGATGTGGCGGCTCGTAGTGCATTTTCCCCTTTAATTACTCATAAATTTTGGAGATACGGTTGTTCTTGTTTCCTGTGAAGCTCAATTTGTTGCTGTCACTTGGCCCGATTTGTTGCATTCCCTCTAAAACAAAGCCCTAAGAAGAAACCGAGGACATGGTCGCCACTGTTTTGTGTATTTTGAAAGTTTGTAATGGAAATGGCTAGATTTGTAAATAAAATAAACCATCAAAATTTTGGCTATTTCTTGTATTTCAAAAATTGTGGCTATAATTGTCACAAACGTGAAAGTTGTGGCTATGAAAGTGTATTTTGCCTAAAATATTTTTAACGTATATTATGACATGGCATCTACGTGGCAAGTGAGACTGAGTTGTCGCTAACGTGTGCATCAATTTGGCATCCTAGTCAGCGTGTCGTTAACCCAACTAACAGAATCTCTAACACCGTTAAAGTTTGTAACAAAAATGGCGAGATTTATCGAACAACTATACAAATTCTGGCAATTTTGCGTATTTTGAAAGTTGTGGCTATATCTGTCACAAACGTGAAAGTTGCGGCTATGTGATGCAACCATGGATTGCTTCCTTACCAAGCTGGAATTACTTGTTCGAGAAGGTAACCCAAATCATTAGAACAATGTGGAATTTTGGTCAAGTCTTTTGACGAGTTCAGATAGGGTACTTTGAAGACTTGGTTCTTCTGATTGGAGCAATGGAATGTTGAGCTTGTGAGCTTGTTTTGAAGTTCAAATCCTCTTCTATCAGATAGAGCGTTTGGTAGCTCAAGGTGGAACGTGGAAGGTCAGTTTTCAGGGTCGACAAAAGGCTATCTCGACACAGGAAAACTGCCAAATTCTGCCTAAGTGTAAAACCGTGTTCAGCCTCGCAACTTTGGAAGATAATTCTGGAGGAAGGATTGCGAGTTGGGATCAATGGTTTGTACCACATCAAACTATGGGTTTCAGGATACAACGATGAGGGATTGGCTGATTGATTGGGTTCCTGGAAGCACTCGAACGAAGCGTCCAAAGCTCGTGTCGAGGACACCGTTTCTGACTTTGAAAGTAACAATCTGAATCCTTGCAAGATTAGGATTCATAGTCTGCTTTGTATTTGATTTCTTTCCTTGTTCGGTTAAGTTCTTTTGGGTTCCAAGTCGAGTTGTATTAGTTTTAGGATTTCCTTCCTTGTTCAGTACTCTAGCTCTGGTCTATTTAAGATTGTGATTGCGTTGTAATTGATATTAAGTTTTATGAAAAGAACACCTTTGTTCATCGAGTTTGTCTCGTGAATTGTCCTTGGTTTCGACGGATTGAATCCATCGATCAAGCGAGCTCTGCATCAATTGAGTATCCACCTCAATTATGGATGAGTTGCGACGTTAGCTCGATCGAGCCTCTTCCCAATTATTGGCGAGAAGTTGCACGAACGACATCCATCTTATCTTAATTCCTGTTTTTGGCTTCCATCGGATTCAGTTGTTGTGAATTCACGAGGTTGGGTAACTCTGATCAAGAAGCTCGACATTTAGGGCTTATCAATATGGAAGTGTATTTTTCCTTTTGGAAAATATAAGATTGATTCATTGGGGAAAAAATGTTTTACTAATCAGTAAGACTTAGGGGTGGAAATGGTACGGTATCGGTATCCCAATATTAAATACTGAAGTCTCGAATACCAAATTACACCCTAAAATCAATCACAATCCCAATCCCTAAATAATTTCGGAATCCTAATCTCAATCCCTAAATATTTCGATATCCGAATAAGTACTTTGGTATCCCAATTGTATTATCGAATATGAAATTAATTACATTTTCAATTAATAACTAAACATATAAATTAGATTTGACTGTTTAATTTAGGATAAAGAGACTTAAGCAAAGAGTTTTGAATTTGTCTAGAGATAGAATATGGATAAGGAGAATGGAGGAGAGGTAACATCTCAAATTCTTGTCATTGGTAATCTTTAATTTGACGATTTGGAGGCTGAGAGATGAATAATACTAATTTTTGATTTTTTGTGTTATGAAAATAACAAGAGATTAGGTGAGAGACGAGAGTGACTTAAACGAAAAAGTCAAAATTGAGTTGGATGGGGCCTTCTAAGTCGTGAAAGAGTGAGGAATGACCAAAGGTTGTGTGCTATATTTTATTAATATTTAATTCTCCGTATTTCTCGGTATTTCGGTATATACAGATCCCAATCTCGAATACCGAATAACACTCCAAAATGAATATCAATACCATTCCCTAAAAAAAACCGGTATTTGGTAATACCAAATAGTGATAAATTCGGTACGATATTCGGTATATCCCAAATACTGATACTTATAGGTGTCAAAACAGAACCTGACCCGATTAACCCGACCCGCAACCCGAATTGACTAAAAGTCAACAACCCGCCCAAACCGCAATCCAACTAACCCGCAACCCGACTGACCCGCAATCCGATTAACCCGAACCTGATTGGCCTGCAACCCGATTAAACCCGAACCCGATTAACCCGAACCCAATTGATCCGAACCCGTCTAACCCGTAACTCGACTGACTCAACCCGAACTTCACCTAATCCACTTGAATAATTATTAGGCAAAATACACTTTCATAGCCATAACTATTCGCGTTGAGACAAATATAGCCAAATTTTGAAAAATACACTCATATAGCCACTTTTGTAAACTTGCTTGACAACTTTAGCCATTTCCGTTACAAAATTTAACGTCGTCAGCAATTCCGTCAGTAATATTAACGTTGTGCTGATGTGGACGCCAGCTCAGATTACACATCAGTTCCAACTAGACAAACCATACCACCTAGATACCACCTCATATTTTAATTTTAAAAAAATTATATACATTTATTTTTTTCCCATCCCCACACCGCCTATTCACCTTCCTCCAACCCCCAGATCTCTTCATCGAAACTCAAAACCCAAATTCAGATTAAATAAGAACCAATCAAATGCTCCTCGAAGGGGAAAATCCCTAATCAACCAGCTGGTGGCCTGCTATTATATCGAAAGATTAGTCCATCTCTGTCGAGAAGTTTCCCTTGGTGTCTCGTCCTCAATTAAAGTTTGGTCCTCGTTGGAGGGAGATATCCCGACTCTTTCTGCCCAATAGCGTTATTCTGCTAATGGGTTAATTGGTTAGTAGATACTAACAGGGTGGGATGATGGGCCACGTCGCCGAGCCACCATCCGAGGGTGAGGGATCGCCGGCGCTGTTCTGTGAGGGGGGAGAATTTTGTGGCCAAGCCGAGCCACTTTTGGGTAAGTGGGGCCAGAAAAAACAAAAAAAAAAAAAACAAAAACCGAAAATTTCAAACCCAAAACCCAACCTCAACCCGCGTCAGTCATTCTCCCCTCTCTCTCCAACTTTCGAACCCTCTCTCTCTCGTTTTCTTCTTCTCCCGAAAACCACCACCCACCAACAGCGACGAGGGCATTCACGGCGACGAGGTCTGCGACGGCGACGACGGCTTGTTAGATCTCCCGCCGCCGACGACGTTGAACTGACCCAGCGGCGAGGAAGAAGACGCCGCCGACGAAGAAGAAAGAAGAAGACGCCGCTGACTTCGCCGACGAAGAAGGCCGCCGCTGTCGCCGCCGATAGTGAGAGGTAGAAGAAGACGTTGAGGTAGAAGACTTCTCCTCTCTTTATTGTTCATTTTGTTTGTGGATAGTAAGTTAGGGTTTCATGGATTTTTTTGGTGGAAATCTGGGTTTTGTTTATGGATTTGAAACTTTATGGTTCATGCAATTCGATTTAGGGTGTTTGGGGTTTTGATTCTAGATTACTAGATTTTCTGTCCGTGGGATTCGAATTTGGGGGTTTAGGGTTTGGAATCTCGATTTGTAGATTTAGGGTTTCATGGATTCGGATATGGGTGTTTAGGGTTTAGTTTGTAGATTACCAGATTCTAGGTCTGTGGGATTCGAATTTTGGGGCTCTGGTTTTTTTTTTCTAGTTACCAGATTTATGGTATGTCGAATTCCATTTTGGGGGTTTGTTGGATACGATTTTGGGGAATGTAGGTATTGTTTGTTGATTCCTTGATTAAAGGTTACATGGATATCAGTTTTGTCACTTCCGATACTTATTCTGGTCATTTTATATATTGTTTGATTATGGTTTCTCGAATTCCATTTTGGGGGTTTGTTGGATACGATTTTGTTGAATCTGGGTATGGTTTGGCGATTCCTTGATTAAAGGTTACATGGATGTCAGTTTTGTCACTTCTGATACTTATTGTGGTCATTTTTTATACTGTTTCAGGTTATGGGGAGACCGAAAAAGAACTCCAACAGTGGCCTAAACTTATCGTGGATACCATCAAAGCAGCCATCAGATGAACAACAACCACAGGTTTCATTTCTTACTTCGTTTCTCGATTGGTTATGTTAACTAAAAATTACTAGTCGGATGCATTTTAATATTATCCTTGGCTGGATAGTTTTCTTAATATCTAACTATGTTTCAGGAACAACCCGTGAGGAAGAAATCCAAAACTGTTGCACCAAAATCTGCAGCAAAATCTCGTGAAGCAGCTGAATCATCACGACAGCCGGCGGTTGAACAACCACCAAAGGTTTGATTTCTCAATTCGTTTCTCGATTAGTTATATTGGATTAAAAAAATAATCTGATGTGTCTGATGTGTGGATATCAGTTCTGTTAAGGTGGATACTTATCTGGTCGTTTTAGTTATTTTTCTGGGTATTATTGATTTTTTTTCATGGATATCAGTTCTGTTAAGGTGGATACTTATCTGTTCGTTTTAGTTATTTTTCTGGGTATTATGGATTTTTTTTCATGGATATCAGTTCTGTTAAGGTGGATACTTATCTGGTTGTTTTAGTTATTTTTCTGGGTATTATTGATTTTTTTTCATGGATATCAGTTCTGTTAAGGTGGATACTTATCTGGTCGTTTTAGTTATTTTTCTGGGTATTATTGATTTTTTTTCATGGATATCAGTTCTGTTAAGGTGGATACTTATCTGGTCGTTTTAGTTATTTTTCTGGGTATTATTGATTTTTTTCATGGATATCAGTTCTGTTAAGGTGGATACTTATCTGTTCGTTTTAGTTATTTTTCTGGGTATTATGGATTTTTTTTCATGGATATCAGTTCTGTTAGTGTCGATATTTAAGTGTGCGTTTTAGTTATTTGTCCAATGATTATGGATATTTTGCTTAATATATAACTGTGTTTCAGGATTCTCCGACGAAGAGAACGAAAATGGTTGCACCGAGATCTCATCAAGGAGAAGGATCAAAGCAGCCGCCGCCTGCTATTCCAGAAGTTGAGGAGGAAGATCAAGAAGAAGATGATGAGGGAGAGGGTCCTTGCGGCTCATATTTCAGATTTCGTGGTTCCACCTATTCCCTCTTCAAAATTATAAGCTACTGGAAACAAGATGCTGGATATTATGAAGCATGCAAGAAAGAAGTCGAGAAGGCAGGATTCGGGGGCCTCTTGGAACTTCGCATGCCGACGATTCCCAATGTCTTCATGGATGACTTGATGGCTGCTTATGACCCCTCAACCAGTATTTTTGTTTTTGGGGAAGGTGAATCGAAGAAGGTGTTTGACTTCACAGCTGAGGATGTGGCACGTGTGTACAACCTTCCTCTCGGTGGTGCTGTGATTGATTTGAAGAACGTTGAGGGGGGGATGCTCGACAGTTTCAGCGAGGAAGTTGGCATGATTCCTAACAGGGCTCGCATGGTTCCTATCAAGAAGCTGCGGGAGTTGGCCATTCCAGCCAACGGTCCCAGAACACCTGTTGCAGTTGCTGTCAAGCAATTCTTGTTGCTAGCTACTGGTTCGATGCTCGTGCCAACATTTGCTCGGAGGTGCAAGCTGGACTTTGCCCCTTACCTAGGTGGGAGTGTTGAGGACGTGAGGGTGTACGATTGGTGTACATTTATTGTCCGTGAACTGAAAGTAGAGTTGACTGTTGCCAAGAAAAAAGAATATAGGTCAAGGGTGTTGGGCTCGCCGTGCGTGTGGGTTCTCGGAGATTGCTACTTCTTGATAGTAAGTCCTAACCTTTTCTTCCAATTGTTGGTTCAATTGCATGAAAACTAGTGAATTTCGTATTTGGGTATCATTTAACTGAACTCGGATACTCTTTGTTTTGTAAGAAATTAGCTTGAAATGATTTCTGGCTATCAGTTTAGTCACATAAGATACTATTTGTGTTGAGACTGGATATTTGTTGATTAAATTGCTAGAAATGGCGCTTAACATTTATTAATTGTATTTTTTTTACAGCTCCATCTGCTGGACTCTCTAAAACTAGGCGGGTTGCACACAAAGACCATACCTAGCTGCCGGTTTTGGTGGAAGCAAAATGTCGAGAGGGCAAGCTCATCTATCCCCTTAGTCAAGGGAAGATATGACCTAGCTGCCGCTCTGCTGAGTAGGGAAGAAATGGCCTCTCGCAGACAGCTCCAGCCGGTGGCTATTGGGGGTACTAGTGCAGCAGCTGCCAGCAGTTCAGCTCCTCCTCCACATCGTGCACCGATGCCCACCGCGGAATGGTGGGAGATTGAAGATTTGACTAGCCTTTCGCTAGGGCAGGTAAAATGTTTTCTTCCTCCCTAACTAAGATAGTGCATTGGTAGACTTGGATGATATAATAACCTAAATATTTCACCACATATGTGTAGCTTAAGGGATTGAAGGAAATGACTGAGAGCATGATTGAAAAGTGGGTGGCTCGAAGGGACAAGGTCCAAACGATTGTCCAGATTTTGGAACAGCAAGAGTGAATTTGATCTACTATTTTCTGTTGTTTGGTGGGGGGTTGTATTTTTTTCCTGGAATTTGTTGCCATATTGGAATGGCTTTGGATATTAGTCGGATTTTAGTTTGTTGCTCTGGAATATTTGTTGGTTTAATTTGGATATGAGCTTGTGGTTTCTTTTCAGTTTAGAATACTGTTTTGTGAGGTTTGGATATTAATTTTATTTTTTTGGATATTAATGCCAACTTGAATATTTGTACGCTCTCTTGTGATTCTATTCTGGGTACATGTGATAATTGCACAAGCAGTTTGGATACTATACTGGATACATGTGCGTTGATTGTTTTTAATTTGCGCAAAATGTTCGTTGTCTTCCAGCTTAAGGTACTAGGTGGTTCGATTGACCGACATTTGGGAAAATTGGTGGACTTTGCCAAAAAACTGGGACAGATGATAGAAAAGAGTGAGGAGCAGGTCAAGCCACAAGTGGAGAAAACTGGAGAGATGTGTGAAGAAGATCCTGAAGAGAAGAATAGATTTGAGGTGGTGGAGAATCAAGCTGAGAAGACTGTAGAGACACCGGACGAGGAGGTGTTTGAGTCGACAGCCCCTATGGTGATACACTATACAGTCCCAGATACCTCTTTTGAGGACATTTTGCAGATAGCTCATGAGGCTACTAGCGCTGCTAATGCCGAGGAAGAAGACCCACCTACAGATGTGGTGGAGTCGTTCTCTCAACTTGCAGAGATGGGAATGATGCCTACAGACGAGGAGTTGGTAGAATCGGCTTGTAAGAGCGCTAAGAGGAGTCCAGATCTGATTATCACGGATGAGAGGAATATGACTGACGAGGAGAGAGACCGTCTGTACAGCTACACACCTGAGGAATGGCTTGCAACACTAAAACCCCAGAGTTTGAGAGGTCGAAGAAGAACCCATATGCTTCTTCATCAGTATATTATTTGTCGAAGGAAGTGTCGCCAAAGCTCGACCCAGTTGCTCGTCTTATGGTTGAGTTCGTCTTCAGTACCCCTGAGGGTAAGGGCTTGGTGGTGCACACTCCTTCAGTTAAACTTGCCCGTCTTCATCTGTTGACATTGAAGCGATTAGAGTGGGTCAATGTACAAGTGATTGAGGCTTATGTTCATTTCTTGAACGACAAAGCACTTGCCGGTGACAAGAAACGAGTTATCTTTCCGTTCACTTTTGGTGTAAGTAGGCTCTTCACTCACACCTTACAATTTTTAGATATTCAGTAACTAATTAGCTATTATTTTACTTTGCAAACAGCAACTTGCCATACTTAATTCTCAGACGAATGTGCCCCCGTCCAAGGAGAGACTCGATGGTGTCATTGAACTGACCCAGCGGCGGTTTCCAGTCTCCAAACAAGTTGCATGGGACAAAGTAGAATATGTAAGTGAAGACTTATTCTATGTCGATACTGATTTACGTGGTTTTGGATACTAGTCTGGGTTTATTGGATATTTATTCGAGAGAATAACCGATTTGTTTGAAGATTTGCCTGTGAATATCTGAAATGTTAGTTTTGGATACTAGTCTGGGTTTATTGGATATTTATTCGAGAGAATAACTGATTTGTTTGAAGATTTGCCTGTGAATAGCTAAAATGTTAGTTTTGGATACTAGTCTGGGTTTATTGGATATTTATCCGAGAGAATAACTGATTTTTTTCTATGTTTCAGATTTTTTTCCCTGTGCATACAGACAAACACTACCGGGTCTACGCTGCTGATCTAAGGAGTCGGAAGACTTTCCTTCTGGACAGCATGAAACCCAAGCCAGCAGTGGCCAAGGTGGATCACTCTCCCATGGGGAAATTGATATTTGAGTATGGGGCTGCTTTCCTTGCAAAGCACAACATCGATTTTCCCTTGCATGATTGGGAAT